CAAAATGCAATCCCGACGCTAGATCAGCAATATTAGCGAATTGGGAAAAACATCCGGCATGCGCCGAATAACAAGTGCAGTCAAATAATAAATAAGCCAAAGCCAAAATGCAATCCCGACGCTAGATCAGCAATATTAGCGAATTGGGAAAAACATCCGACATGCGCCGAATAACAAGTGCAGTCAAATTGGAACAACATCCGGCATTCAGCTACTGGGACTTTAGCTTAAGATATTTTTGCTAGCCTAAGTGATTTTAACTAATACAAGCTGGAAAAATTAAAATGTTAAGTTAGTTAATAACAAGAACTCAACAATAAAGGTCTTCTGACCCAAAAAAATAAATTTTTTTTGGCCTTCTTAATTAATTATGCCAATCAATCCTTTCCCGCTTATTCTTCGACCTTTTAGCTGGATAAAACGTCGATTATGTCTACCCACAGTAACGCTGCTTTGGCTTCTTCTAACCTTCATCCTTTGGCGGAGTCTTCGTCTATCACCTCGCCTTCCTTCCATGGTGGACAGTCTCAACCTGGTCTAACTATTCCCTTCCAGTTCACTGTCCATAATCACAAAGGCGAGCACCACTTTCACACCCACTCCGCTGGCGCCTATTCCAATATTCGCGATCTGACTAAATTCGGACGGATCTGCACTTTTAAATCTCTTGAGTGCGTCGTCCTCCCTGGCCAACATTGTGTTGAAGTGCCAATAACCATGGACGTTGTTTGGACTCAAAATGATCTTATCCCTTCGGCTACAGACATCCTCAATTATCCAGGAGCTACTAGAATGACCGCCGGTGGTCCTATTGCCTTCGCTCCTTTCGTCGTCTCATGTCCTTTTGCCTCAGTTAATCCAGTTATCAAATCTCCCGTCCCTTTTACCGACACACCTCGTCTCAGCTTCAATTTTTGGCTCAACACATCGGCCAACACCAAGTTTAAGTACGCCAACATTTTGGCCACAGTCATGGATAAGGGCACTCTTGAGGTTTCACATCCAGCCTTCTCAGCCAGCTCTTCTGCCGACAACCTTTAAATTTGAATTGCTTATAAGATTCAATAATCACAACATGCGTCTATATCTCCGTCAAATTACAGGTTCACTTGACCGCCAATTCGTCATCTCCACCATACATCGTCAGTTAGAGATAGCCGTTACTGTTCGCGACATGGATGATAAAACCCGCATCGTCTTTTCCCCCGACTTCATTCCCACCTCCACCCGTAGAATCGGAGATTTTACTGTTTCAGTCGATGATTCAGGGCGTGAGGCTATTCTTTGCTCTGCAGCTCAACGTCTCTTCTCTGCTGATTATTATGGCCGTTTTATCGCGAAACATGATATTCTTCGTGTCCGAGACACTTTCCTCTTGCCTGCTCTATCTCTATCCTCGACACACCAAGACCCTGCTCCGGCCGCACCACCCCGGTGCTGTCCTTCCACCCGTTCCGCTTCCAACACTGATTAGATCAGACTCAGTATAAAATGTCTGTATCATTCCACACTGATTAGATTGGGCTCAGTATAAAATGCCTTATTTTTTTTTTTACACTTTATAAATGAATTTCTTTAATGATCTCACGACGTATGGCAGCAATGCACAGTCGATTTTGTTTATCAATTTTCTTAATTAATAGGCCAATAATTTGCATATATATGTACATCCATAGGTATATGAGTACATTTCATATTTATAGTTAGTGCCGTTTTTGCTAGCCTTTGCCCTATGCGTGGGCGTCAGCAGGTCGCTCATTTTTTGCAACCAGTAGCTTATGGTTGTTGTTAGTCGTTTTTTGATCGCCAACTAGACCGCACGGGCTAATTCGAACCCGCCTGCAGTCTTCGCTATTATATTAATAAATATATAATTTTTTAAAACGAATTCGGTGGTGTTAATTTATTTGCAAGGAATTAGCCTCCGAAAAGGCCCGGTGGCTACACAGTATACAAAATACAAAATCGTATAATTTGTACCAATATTCTTTCATAATCTTTCCGCATACGATTGTCATTTGTTTATAAAGGAACTTTCATCTGTTGATGGTGATATAAATATCATTCCGCTAAATAAAGAGCTATATATTTTCATATCAAAGAAAATTTATATATAATAATGATAAAGAGAAAATTGAACTTCGTTTTTTTAGATTCGTTTAGGTTTATGCCATCGAGCTTACA